GGTCCGGAGCTTAGCTCATGGGCGCACCCACCAGCCCATGTTCGCCCATCTCAACTAGAACCGATAGTGCAGGCCTGCCGGCCAAAGCGCCCGACCTGTAAGCCAGCCCTTCATATAATCCCATGTAAACATAAGCTAACCCCCGATTATGCGCCAGGCTCGGGTCTAGCTAGCGCCGATATCGTGCAAGCCTGCCTGCCGAAGCCCCCGACCTCTAAGTGCCATGCCTCTATATCAGCCCACGTAAACATAAAAGCGAACCCTCGATGTTTTATACCAGTCGGAGAGCCCTGTCCCAACCAGTAGAGATTCTGAGAAAGACCACCAGCGCACATGTTCCAGCGTCTATGGGAACAAGCTGAGCACTGCGTAGCAGTCTGTCGTTGCAGCAGGCGGATCACTGGGCAGAAAGCACTTCAGAGCACCCAATCAGCGCCAGACCCATACGTGCCAGACATTCATATAAGCCCATGTAACCATCAGCTAACCCCCGACTATGCGCCAGGCCCGGGTGTGTGAGGGCTTAGCCCATGCGCCTTCACAGGGTCCGGAGCTTCGCTCATGGGCGTACCCAAGCCAAAAGCCTACGCATGCACAGAGCCCCTCGTCTCGAGCGGACAACGCAACCCTGTCCGCAGCGGCGCCGCGTGCTTGACTGCGACTTCGCCAGCAACTGCCTTTGTGCCTGGCCCTGCGTGCATCGGCCTCCGTCGCCAGCACGACTCCCAACTAGACGACGAGTGGCCCGAAAGCATTTTTCATCACGTAGGAAGTCAGAGTGTGAGTTATCTGTTAAGTGTGCAGTGTGAAGTGTTTAAGTCGAGTGAGTTGAGGTAGTGTGTGGGCTTCTGTGTGTGTATCTATGTCCGTGTGTATATGAGTCTGTGTATGTGTGTGTTTTCGTGTAAGTTGAGGGTGTGTGATGCGGCCTCCCAAACCCCCCACCGGCGGCCAAGCGGTGACAGCCCAGCTCATCGTCATGAGCATTTGAGCTGCTGGTAAGGGGAGAAGCAGCGTGCACGGCTCCAGGAAAAGCTCAC